GAAGAGCTTTGAAAATGAAAAGGGGGAATAGTTTCCTGCAGTTTTAGGCAGGCTGCAGTTCACACAGCCCCTGTTCATGCTCCACGTGCTGTTGAATTGTATTTTTTCTGAATTCCAGCTGCGGTGGGAAGGCTGGGGAGGGTGGGAGCTGGGGAATGCAGGGCTGCTGTTGGAGCAGAGGCAATGGCTCATTAGAGCTTTTCAGCAGCCTGAGTGCAAGAGGAGGCACAGGAATCCATGGCAAACAATGCCAGCTCCCTGCCAGGGGACTGAGGGAAGGGCCACGCTTTGCTTCTTGAGGAAAAGCAGGAGCCCAGGGTCTCCTATAGAGCCTGGAGAGGAGAAGCTCCAGGGAGAGCTCAGAGCCCTGCCAGGGCCTGGAGGGGCTCCAGGAGAGCTGGAGAGGGACTGGGGACAAGGATGGAGGGACAGGAACAGGGAATGGCTCCCAGTGCCAGGGGGCAGGGCTGGGTGGGAGACTGGGAATTGGGAATTCCTGGCTGGGACAGGACACAGGGAATGGCTCCCAGTGCCAGGGGGCAGGGATGGGTGGGACATTGGGAATTCCTGGCTGGGCTGGAATTCCAGAGCAGCTGTGGCTGCCCCTGGATCCCTGGCAGTGCCCAAGGCCAGGCTAGGCATTGAGGTTGGAGCACCTGGGACAGTGGGAGGTGTCCCTGCCATGGCAGGGGTGGCACTGGGTGGGATTTAAGGTCCCTTCCAACCCAAACCATAATTCTCTATCAAAGGATGTCTTTATTGTACTTTGTTTTGTCTGCTTGGCCTAAACAATGAGGGCAAAAAATTATCCCCAAGGAAAATTAAGGTCAGAATCTCCATTTTTTTCCTGTTCAGATTTCCCAGCCAATAAGGAAGGACAGCATTTCAAAGCAATGTTAATGTGTAGGAGAAGCAGGTCTGTAGAAATTTTGACATACCCCAATTAGCTTGGCTTCAAACAGGCAGGAATACAGGCAGAAAATTCAGGCTTTAGACCCAGGCCTTTGATGCTGGAGTGTGAATTCTGGCCATGGATGAGCAAATCCAATCCTTCTGAGTGCTTGTACTGTGTCACTGGGGGCGTGGGAGGGGAGCAGGCTTTGCCAAAATAACATTTTTTCCCTATTTAAGGATTTTTAAGGTCTTGGAGATTGTCACGTTTGCACGGTTGCAGTTGTTGGTTTATTCTGTTGAGGCTGCCCTCAATTTGTGCCACTCAGCTGTTCGGAATCTGGTTCCTTTTTCTGCTTTTCTCTGCTGGTTTTCTGGATGGAGGTGGAGGAGTGAAGCAGAGGCCAGAGAGCCCAGGCTGGCAGTGCTCAGCAGCCTGTGCTGGGGGAGATAAAGTCAGCCACTCCTCTCCTGGCACATCCTCCCAGTTCCTGGCAGCTTTGAGTGATTTGGACACTTCCTGATGGCACTGGTGGGGTCTCCACAAAGGATCTAAATCCTGAGTCCATCCCTGTGCTCCTTCCAGACTTTTGTGAGTCACAAAAGAAGGGCTTTGTTGTGTAGACAAAAAAAAAAAAAAATTATCTTCGAGAACACAGTACATGAGCTATTGCAAATACAAAGAATTAGTTCTGTTCTGTGCAGGGCCTTGGGGTGTTGCTTCACTTCTTTGGTCTCCTTAGAAACACGTGGTGAGGCAGTGTTTTCCTGCTCTGACACTGTAATTTTTCATGCATGTATTTCATATTTCTCACACATTGTCTGCTATGCTCTTTAAATAAATGTACTGGAAACTATCTGTGTAAAGTGCACATCTGAATTTGCCTGGAATTCGTGTTCTGAGAAAAATTAAATATTTCTGCCTCCTTTGACACAGCTGATTGGCCAAACCCAGGGCCCATACAAGGGATGGTTATTAAGGTTTTAAATAATTGCTACAACTTCCGATTTCCCAGAGAGAAAATCCAGCAAGAGGGGCTGGGTTCCAGTCTGCCTTGGCTGGGGTCTGTGTGCTCTCTGCTCCAATTCCTTGCTCATCTTCCAGCTCTGAGCTCCCCATGTGCTCAGGCTGGTCCCTGGTGGCTGAGAAGGACCCAGAGCTCTGGAGGGGAGAGGAAGGTGGAGGGTCCCAACCCTCCTGGGGGTGGCTGATGGCTTTGAGCCTCAAGTGGGGCTGCCCCTGCATCCCTGGCAGTGCCAAGGCCAGGCTGGATGGAGCTTGGAGCAGCCTGGCACAGTGGGAGGTGTCCCTGCCATGGCTGGGGTGGCTTTCAGGGCTTTAAGGTCCCTCCCAATCCCAATCCTGGGATGCTGAGATTCCATGATCTATATGAGCAGTACTTATGAACTTCCCAGTGAAATCTTACTACAGGGAAATTATCTTTTTTTTTGTGCACATGTATGCAACATTGAGCTTTTATTTAGCTTACCCCCAAATTGTTGGCTATTGGATTGGGTTGGATTTTGTAGGTTTTGCAGGAAAAAGCAGAAAATTACACAGCTCTACCACGTGTGCCTCTGATCCAGCCTCACTGGGAATCTGTTAGGAATTAGCTGCAGAGCTGATGGCTTCCAGAGTGGTTGCTTACCCAATGTGCTGCCTATTTATTTGTATTTTTCACTGAAAACTTTACCAGCTGTTGCTGTTTCCAGGCAGGAGCTGGGGCACCGTGCCCTTGGATGCAAACTGGGTGGTTAAATTCCTGAAAGCCAGCTGTGGGCAGGCTCTGCTGGCTGCTTTGCACACACCAGTGTGTGATGCAATTTGCCCACGGAAGAGGAAACAGTCCCCAGTTGGTTCTGTTTCTGTTTCTGTGGCTCGTCAGGCCCTCGTGCACGTTGGGGCTGTGCCCCTCAGGCCCTGTCACAGCACAGCTCGCAGGTTACTGGAAAGTTGCTGACTGCTGAGAGCCATTCTGAGTCACAAAAATAAGTAAAATTCAACATGAATGAAACTGAGATGGATTTGGCCTGCTGAGTCTTTGAGATGTGGTGGTTCTTGCAGCACTGAGCCCAGTATCAGTATTACAGAGTGTGAGTTTTCTCTTGGCTTTGCATGTTTTGCAAGAGGCTTTATTTTCATTACCAGAGAACATTTTTACATAAGTGTTTGAATACATTTTCCTCTATTCAGCAAGTTTGCAGCACAAGTTTCCATTTGTATTGCCATTCTCCTTATTAGTTGCCTCATTTTTATCATGGTTTTCACTGAAATCTGCCTGTATGGGCGTGGGACTTTCTGCTCCCCAGCTCCCATTGACTTTGGTGGGAATTCTCTCTAAAGAAGACTTGCAGGAACTATTTGTGTAATTAAATCCATCTATTCCCTCATTAAAAACTCCCGTCCATGCTCAGTGAGCACGAAAACTTCTGAGAACAAATGGAGTGAAAGAGGAAACAGCTTTGAGAGAGACCACCCAAAGTACAGAACCAAACCAAGCATCATCCCTCTCCTTTTCCTTTATTCCAGAACTTGTGTCCACACTCCCACACTGAGCGAGAAGAAAATACACCACAGTTATTAATTCTTGGCAAAAATCTTTTAAAAGAACAATTTAATAAAGGTCAGAAGGAGCTGTTTGGGAAAATCTTCTCCAGAGCAGCCTGTGAGGATGGGCAGAGGGTCCTGCTCTGCCTGGTGTCCATCCACACCAATGTGGGCTTCATCTGTTTTCACAGTCACGTTCTGCTGCCAGGGCTGGCTGTTCCCAGGCTGAGCCTCACATCTGCTGGGCAGCTGAAGCCAGAGCTTCTCCCTTTGCTGCAGGAATTCTGCCAGGCACTGCCAGGAGATGGAAGTTGGATCCTTCAGCTTTGGGAAAGTGCAGGACAATGGCCAGTGAAGGGAGCAGCCTGATGTGTCCAGAGGCTGCTTGGCCACTCCTGCTGGCCCAGAGACACAAAAAGTGCCACCAAGTGTCACAGCCTGGGGCTCTGCTCACCCAGTCACTGGCAGTGACAGCACCTGAGGGTTGTCCCACAGGTGAATTCCACAAAAATGGCTTTGATGGTTGTGGCACCCACGGCAGGTGGGAGAAGCTGCTTCTACAATTCACTTCCGTGATTTTTCCAAGTGTTCAGTCAATCCAAGAAATGTCCCTTTCTCTTCAAAAAGTTCTTTATAAATGCTGCTGGTTTGGGAATGGATCTGACAGGTCCTGTGTGTTTTACCCTATATAATTCTCTCCCTGATTTTTTTTTTTTTGTTGTTGTAGTGTTATGAACTATTTTCCTTTTCCCTTTACTGAAAAGAGTGGACCCTTCCAATTGTAGGATTTATCAAGCTAAGGTGTGGCTGGCAGGGAATCCCACACTGAGATCATCCATCATCATTGCTGGAAATGACTGACAAAGACATGTGGGAAAAGTTACAGAAATTCAGAGAATTGGGGTGAAACGATAAATTTAAGAACAGGAATGACAAATTTGGCTTCTTGGAAGATACATCAGGGAACTTTGAAGGCAGTTTGTTCCCTTCAGAGACAAAGTCACCTCCTTTTGTTTGCTGTTGCTTTCTGTGGATAATCTTGGCTGGTTTTTTTTCACTTCCAGATCTCTTGCATTGATTTTTCATTGGATTTTTTTCCATGTATTTTTTGCTGCAGTCCTTTTGGTAGAAACTTTGATTTCAAATCATTCCTAGGCTTTCTGGGAAGGCTGCTCTTATTCACGAGGATATTTAGAGATGCCCAAGTTGCTGTGGCTGCCCCATCCCTGAGGTGTTCCAGGATGGGGCTTGGAGCAGCCTGGAACCGTGGAAGGGAGTTGGGACTGGATGAGATTTAAAATCCCATCTAACCCAAGGCATTCCATAATCCTGTGATGTCTTCATGGAGATGAAAATCAGATTAAGCCATGTGCTGCTGCTTCAGTTTAAAGGGCTTCACATCTGCAAGTTATGGCTGTTCTGGGGATTTAAAACCATAGAAAAGGATGATACTAAGGCAGACAAAACCAGATGAGATAATTTAACTAAAAAATCAGGGATTGTACTGGGAAAAAGGCAGTGGCTGATTGGAGCTGAGGTGATGTGTTCTGAAGGATAACATGTAGGGGATAAGACAACTACAACAGCATTAAATTACTGCCAGGGTTTCAGATGAAGGAAATTCCAGGTGAGTTTTGGGGCCACCTTCCTGCATCTGTTTGCTCTCAGCTTTATGTACACACAATCTGATTTAAAGCAAACCATCTGATTCCATGTTTCAGTGTAGCTGAGTTTGGTGTTTTCTGGTGGGATAAAAAGCCCCAAACACACAAACAAACCCCAGATTTTTGCTGTAAAGACCCTCTGCTCCTGTGCACTGCTCTGCCTGAGGCAGGAGCGAGGGGCTGCAGCTCCCACCTGGAAACAAAGCACTGAAGTGGATTCATGGAACATTAACAGAGACACAACCTCGTGTTTTTGCTTTCAGATTTAACAAATCAGGTGGAGACAGCTGGCCTGCAGCTGCAGAAGGTGACAGCAGAGATGGAGCACTACAAGAAGCTGTTGCTGTAAGATTCCCATTCCTTCATTGCTTCCCACTGCACATAAAACACATAAACCACTTTTTTTTTTTTTTTTTTCCAGCAAGTGCTGCTTGTTAAAATGATCTGAGAAGGTTTTGACCCACAGAGAACTATTTTTTCTTCATATGATTATTTCTGAGCACCTGCCTGAGCCAGCCTGGCTGTGGGAGCAGGGCTTCCTTCCTCCAGCAAGGAATACTGGAACTGCAGAGGAGGGATAAGGAGCCTGATGCAGTGCCTCACCTAACACACAGGTGTAGGATGCATTTTGGGAAATCCACGAAACTTCAGGACTGAAAATGTGTATATTCACATTTTTTATGTAGGAAGGAAGGAATATATAGTGAGAAGGAAGGCATATATAGTGACAGAGCACTGCCAGAGAGCAGGGTTAGGGGGATATTGGGAAGGAATTGTTCCCTGGGAGGGTAGGCACGCCTGGCACAGGTTTTCCAGGGAATTTGTGGCTGCCCCTGGATCCCTGGCAGTGCCCAGGGCCACATTGGATGGGGCTTGGAACCACCTGGTCTATGGAAAGTGTGGGTGGAACAAGATGGGCTTTGGGGTCCCTTCCAACCCAAACCATTCCAGGATTTTCTCCCATTTCCAGAGCACACCCAGCCACTCAGAACACCCTCACAGCAGGAACCTGACACCCCAACACCATAAAACATCACAAATTCCACAGCCCAGTGCTGAAAACCTCAGTGGGCACCGGAGCTTGGGGACGTCACCTCCAGGAGAATCCAGAGGGAGGGGGCCAGAGGATGCTGAAAAGGCACAAATTGTGTTTGTGAGGCTCAGGAGTCAGGAGCTGGCACTGCCAGGCTCTCTGTTCCCATTTTTCCCTGGAATCTGAGCAAAGGATTTGTGCTGTTCTGCTCTGCAATTTCTAGTTTCAGTTCCTTCATTCAGGGGGTCTGAACATGACTGACTTGCAAATATTTGGGATGCTTAGCAACAAAGTGCTTCAGTGATAATGTAAGGATTGTGTGGGAAACAAAGATGTCATGAACACAGTTAAATAAACACCGAGGGCTTTCCAAGTGTAAATTAACATTTCAGCATAATATGGGCACAGTTTAATCAAACAACATATTCTATATCTGTTTAAATGTAAATATGAACCTTAACCATGGTTATTAATTGGTGCAATGGTGACATAATGAAATGAAACCTGCAAAGTTTCCAGCCCTTTTACCTACAAAATTGGGATTTGTTCCATTTTATTAATTTATTACTCAAAACTGTCATCAATGTTGCAAGATCCCACTTCTTGTTTGCAACATTTGTGATCCATGTCTGGCTGAGATGTCACTGGAAATGTAACTTCCAATTATTAACAACCTTTGCTGGAGCTGACAGAACTTTCTGTTCGTGGCCTTTTACCTGAAATGGAAAATGCAAGGAGGAAAATACACCCAGAAGTGATGTCCAGGCTGCTGCAGAGTAAAGGCTCATTTCTGTGGATAATACCCTTTTTTCCCAATGTTTTTTTAGGGTGAAGTCAACAGAACTTGATGTCTGTCAAAAAGAACTGAAAAAGATCAAATATGAGAATGGAATTGCTGAGTCCAGGTAAATGCTGAAAAGATATTTCATCTTTTTGAGCAATTACAGCAAACATTTTATTATTTTAATGCAGTTTTTATGCAATACATTTAAATTTTTTTCTGTTGAGTCAGTAGATTTAACTTCACAAAGAACACATGGAGTTTTGACCAATATTTTATTTTCCAGGCACCATTATTTCTGTCTATGAATAAGAATATAGTAACTACAATTCTGCTGTTTCATTATTTCATCCGTAGACTTACAAAAGAGCTGAAGGAAAAGGAGGAATCCCTTCTCGTTTGCCAACAAGTCTGCAAACATTTACAGGAGGAAGTGGCTGAGAAGGAGAGGAGAGAAGAAGATCTGAAAAGAAGAACTGGGAGATCAGAGAGTGAGCTGGAAACCCTTAAAGCTCTCCTGAGCCAAACAGAGCAGGAGGTGCTGATGCTGAAACAGGAAAGGTAAAGGGAGCTGAGCTGAACTCAGGTGCTCCTGAAAATCCTGGAGATTCTGGAGGTCATTGGATTGGGTTTTTAAATTATTATGGGGCAGAAAAAACATGGATGGAGAGAAAAGAAGAAAAAGTACTATTGAAAATAGGAGTAGAGAAGTTCTGCTTGGACTGCAGGGCTTCAGCTGGAGTTTCCTCTGAGCCCCAAAGCCCCATTTTTGCAGCTGCTCTTTGTGCTGAAGGTGCAGGGAACATCCAAACCCCTGAAATGCAGAAAGTTGGTACCTCCTGGCACCTTTAAATGCTGAAAACAATCCTGGGGCTGTCAGGAGTAAAACTGGAGCTGGAGGTTCTACTGCAGGCAATTAAAAAAAATATGGATTCAGGTTGGTGAGTCCAAAGCAAAGGCACTCCAGCTCGATCCCATTCCAGGGAAAACAGCCCTCGGGAGCCCAGTGCTTTATGCTGCACATCTCAAAAGCAATCCCAGGCACAATGGCAGCTTTGTTCACAGCTGAGACCCTTCAGAGCCAGACTGAGCTGGTGGGGAGCTGCTCTCACACCTCCCAAGCACCAGATCCTGTCCAAGACCCTGGCTGAGGGAATACTGAGGCATTTTTGAGGTGGACAAGTTGTTAACAACATCACTGAGAGGAATTTAACCTCTCCAGGAGCCTTGCCCTACAGGCCCCACGTAACAAACAGTACCTTGAAGGACAAAAAGCTCTCAGTGCTTTGCATTCCAAACCCATTACAATTTTTAAACTAATGATCCTAATATTCCAAGTTCATGAAATACAAGTTCTGGGTGGAATATTTTAAGTTTCTCTGCGTTCTTTGAAATTTGTCTTGAAAATATCAAAGAAGTATTAAAATGTCATTTGAAGTGGAAGATCAAGTACTGTATTTCCTTTAAAACATGAAATTCAGGAGGCAAGTGAGGGCGTGGTGGAGATTCCAGGTGGTGATTCCTGGGGCAAGGACTTCATTGCAAGGCAAGGGGATTGCAGCAGTGTGGGCAGAGCCCAGGTTTAGCCGAAATTTGTGTTTTTAGGGAGCTGCTGAAGAGCAGGGTGGAGCAGCTGCAGGAGGCGCTGAGGCAGAAGGTGCAGAGCGAGGACTCCTGGAGGGACAAGGTGACCCTGGGGCTCTGCTTTGGGGGTTTCATTTTCACCCAGGGCACAGGAGAGCTGGGAACAATCTCCTCCAGTGCCACAAGTGCTGGAGCCATGGAATCACTCCCAGCCTGGCTTGGAAATTCGGTCAGAAACACAAAAATCCCATTTGCCTTTGGCCTCTGGGTCTGCTGGGGCCTCAAAGCCCTCAGTTCACAGGGCAAGGTTTGTCTGGGAGCCTCCTGTTCCCAAAAGTACAGTTCATGTTTGCTGAAGTTCATGGAATCACAGGATCCCAGCCTGGTTTGGGTTGAGGGACCTCAAATCCCACCCAGTGCCAGCCCTGCCATGGCAGGGACACTTCCACTGTGCCAGGCTGCTCCAGCCCCAGTGTCCAACCTGACCTTGGCACTGCCAGGGATCCAGGGGCAGCCACAGCTTGTCCATAATATCCTTTACAAGGAGTTCTCCTGCCTCTTCCAGTGGGATTTGGGAAGCTTTTCCCATGAACAGCTGTCACCATGTCAACCTTGTTCTCATCTGCAGCTTTTTTTTTTTCCCTGAACAGAATAAGAAATAAAAATGTAGTCATTTATCAAAAAGAATAATAAATAAAAAAAATATTTATGTATTCAAAACAATTTTAATATATTTAAAATAATTTTAAAAATTAAATAAATATGTACATCAGTGAAGGAAAATGAAAAAGCAGAGCTGAACTGTAACAGTGACTTGTCTGATTTAAGCCTCACATAACTGGGGACTGAAATTACTGAATTTTTTGTTCCAGTGTCTGAAAGCTTTATTTAGTCCCAGGAGAGCCTGGTAGCAATTAGGATCAGTTCATTTCTTTGGAAACCCCTTCCCTTCCCTGTCACAGGATATAATTTGGGAAGGGGCTCATGCTGGCTCTATAATCAGAGTATTTCCAGCCTGCCATGTGAACAAGATAAAGACTGGAGGGAGGGAGGGAGAGGGAGCAGTTTCAGCTGTGGTGTCCCACCACTCCAGTGCAGCCACAGACAGGCCCCAAAACTCGGCTCAGCAGCCAAAAAAATCAGCAAAGTGACAAAGTGACAACGTTGCCTTTGCTTTGTGCCACTGCAGAGCACCAGAGGGTCAGGATCTCTAATAATAGGTAGAGTTAATAAATCTGGGGATTTATCTTCATCTCCCATCTAAGAGCATAGAAATATTAATATTATTAATAAAGAATTCCATATAATATAATAAAAACTAAAATAAATCATATACAATGTCAAATAATTTAAAAATAATATTACACCATATGTCGTAATTATTATACAATAATTTATATTATTATACTATGGTAATAATTATTAATACAATTATATTCTATTAAATATTAATAATAAAAGTGTTAATTATTATAATATTACAATAATATTATTAACATATATTAATGTAATATAATTATATAGATAATAGAATTATAATAGAATTATAGTTAATAATATTTTAATCATTGTTATTGGTATTGTTATTATTATAAGAGTCTACTTTGAGCATCTTACAAATACAGCAATTTTTCAGCTGTAACTTAGTGGGGGATTTGCACCTCTTCCAAACCCTGAATCTGGCAAATTTTGCTTTAAAAAAGAATGAAAATGTTTCCAGTTTCTCTTTTCCCCCTAAAGACATCAGGGAGATTGATTATACTTCTGCTCATAATAATGTGTGGAATTAGATAATTGTAATTAAGCTCATTGTGGGCTTTTGTGCTTTTAATCACTGAACTAATGAGGTTTGTGTTGTGCATTTAATGTGGCTGTTGTGCTCTCAGCCTGCTGCAATTAAATCCGTCAGAACCAGCTGCACAAAGGACAGGACCAGCCTGGGTAGGAGAAGTGTTCTCCTAAATGCAGCCTTTGGGGATTCCTCCAGAATCCAGAATTTCCTACTGGGGAAATTACAGCTGAATTTCTAGTGTGAATTATTGGAGATGCTGTAAGGACTGGGAAATGTCACCCAATATTCCATTTGGAGAAAGGTCTGGGATGAGCTCCTTGTGACCTGCCAGGGCCTGGAGGGGCTCCAGGAGAGCTGGAGAGGGGCTGGGGACAAGGATGGAGGGACAGGAACAGGGAATGGCTCCCAGTGCCATTGATTGGGAGATTGGGAATTGGGAATTCCTGGCTGGGATGGAATTCCCAGAGCAGCTGTAGGGGGCAGGGATGAGTGGGAGATTGGGAATTGGGAATTCCTGGCTGGGACAGGACCCAGGGAATGGCTCCCAGTGCCAGGGGGCAGGGCTGGGTGGGAGATTGGGAATTGGGAATTCCTGGCTGGGATGCAATTCCAGAGCAGCTGGGGCTGCCCCTGGATCCCTGGCAGTGCCCAAGGCCAGGTTGGACACTGGGCTTGGAGCACCTGGGACAGTGGGAGGTGTCCCTGCCATGACTGGGGTGGCACTGGGTGGGATTTGAGGTCCATCCCATCCCATCCCATCCCATCCCATCCCATCCCATCCCATCCCATCCCAGTGTGACAATGCCACTGACCCCTCTTGTCCCCCAGCTGGAAAAGGACCTGGCCAAAGGGGAGGCTCGGCACAAAGAAGCAATCCTGAAAGTCAGGGAAGAGGCCAGAGTGGAGCTGGAGCTGGAGAGGAAAAACCAGCAGGAACTGATCACAAAATACCAGAGGGACCACGAGGAGCTCCAGCAGAAGGTGTGCAATGCTCGAGAGAAAACTTGTGGCAGAAGATCACAGAAAACTGTAAAAAATGGGAATGTGAAGGAATAAAACCTGCTCTGTGTGTCATCCTCTCTCTGGATGATACAGTACTTTTTTACAGTTTTAGCATATTTAATTTTTTTTTTAATGAAACAAGCTGAAAATAACAATTACAGTTCAAGTTAATTGGTGTGAAGTTCTTTCTCATCTTGTGTTTTCACCTCCAAAACTTCATCTATGTCCCCAGAGTTGCTAATTATATTTAATGTGGCATCATCACTTTTTAAAAGCTTGGGATTGCTTCAGGCTATGATGAGGTGCCACAATCCCACCCATATTTTTTCTCCTTCCCAAGGGAGCCCAGCAGCTCCAGGGCCAGTAAAGGCCTGCTGGGCTGGACTGGTGCTCCAGATCCCCTCAAGTTTTATACAGAAATTGAGAAATTGTACCTGTAACCTGAGTTTCCAAAAGGTTTGATACAATTCGTGAGAAAATCTGAGAAATCTGGAAAAATGAAAGGAATGTGATGAGGCTTTATTATTATTTAAAATCTAGGACACTGTGATTTAGAACTGAAAATAAGTTTGGTTTTGTTCACTTGGCAAATATTTAACCATGGTTTTTAAACCCTGAGGAAACACTGACTTGCAGTAAATTTAACTTGAAGTTTAGTTTTCCCTTTTTTACCTCAATGTCTCTGTTTGATCTTGAACACACTAATTAATCTCTGTGTTCTCAGCGAGTGGTGATTAATTTACAGCTCTCTGGTGTCCTCCGAGGGAATTATGTAAATTCAGAGCTTTTTTTTCTCTCTGAGGACCTGCAAGTTTGAATTTGTTGTTTTTTTCCTCAAGTCCCCATTTGTCTGCTATTCATTCTCATATTTAGAGGAACTGAGATTCATTCCTGTCTGATCTCACCCAGATCCCAGGTTTAATATCCAGTGCCACCAAGAGCTTGAGGATGGAGATGGAAATTCTGGAGAAGAAGCTCCAAGATGCACAAATGAAAGTGGCAGAGAAGGATGGAGACAAGGAAAAAGAAATCCAGAGCCTTAAAAGGCTCATCAGTGAGCTTGAGTTCCAGCTGACCATGGAGAAGAGCAACAATGAATCATTCCTGGACAAACTGAGGAAAGAAATGAAGCACAAGTCAGATGAACTGGAAAAACTAACCCAGGAGAAGACACAGCTGATTCACACTTTGAGTCAAGTTCAGGAGGAGGTAGGAGCAGGACCCAGGAAATGCCTGGTTATTTTTACTTGGAGACGTGTGATTTCTAAAGTCATTCAAAGGTCTGTGACCAGAAAATCCATTGAAATGCAAAGATTTCTCAAACAAATCCATCATTGTTTCCTAAATACGGTACATCACAAAAGATATGAAGTTTTAATTCAGCAAATGCTTAAATTAGTGTTTCATGGGAAAATATATTATTAAAAATTATATTTCAGATCCTGCAAGGCCTTTCTTAGCCCATAGCCTCATGTTCCACTGCCCAAACATGAGTAAACAAAAATGAATTCTCAGTTTTTAGAGTAGAAGACACGGATATTTCTCATTCCTTGAACTGGTGTCTCAGCTCCCACCACTGCAAGCGTGTTCCCTAACTCAGGAATCCATAAAAATGAATTAAATGCAAAGAGAAATTCAACTGATGGATATTCTAACCACAAACATTTGCTGAATGCTTGGAGTAGAATGGGAAGGGAGGAGAGAGCTGCTCCATGGGACATGTGGAGTCAGGAACTGCTGATAAGATTAGGCTGGAATGTCCAAAGCAATTCAGTGGCAGGAAAAGGAATTGGTCAGCAGTGAAAATAAAACTCTTCCACGTGGATTAGTGCTGGGGCTGGTACTGTTTACTCCTTGGAAAGGTTGGGAAAGGTGTGAGTGGAATTCCAGTGAGGCTGTGCCCAATCTGTGCCCAAGGATGGGGACATGGGAGAGAGGGGCCTTGGCAGTGCTGGGACAACAGCGGGACTGCATGGCCTTCCCATGAGTGATTCCATGATTCCATGTGTTCATTCCTGGCTCCACTCCTGGTCCCACACCCTGTTCCATTCTTGGTTCCATTCCTGGGTCCACTCCTGGTTCCATTCCTGGGTCCACACCTGGTTCCATTCCTGGCTCCACATACCAGTTCCACACCTGGTTCTGCTCCTGGTTCCACTCCTGGTTCCACATCTGGTTCCATACCTCCACACCTGTTTCCACACCTGGTTCCACTCCTGGTTCCATTCTGGTTCCACACCTGGTTCCATTCCTGGCTCCACACCTGGTTCCATACCAGCTCCACACCTGGTTCTGCTCCTGGTTCCATACCAGTTCCACACCTGGTTCTGGTCCTGGTTCCACTCCTGGTTCCACTCCTGGTTCCATACCTCCACACCTGTTTCCACACCTGGTTCCACTCCTGGTTCCATACCTCCACACCTGTTTCCACACCTGGTTCCACTCCTGGCTCCATGGCTCCATGCAGGCTGTGCTCTCCCACTGCAGAGGGTTACAGGGAAAAGCAGCATTACTCCCTTGGTGTCACTGCAGCTCAGTCCATTACTGCCTTTCCTTCCAAGAACAGCATTCCCAGTTTTCCCAGCTGGGCAGGAGAGCAGGAAAACCTTCTGAG